TAAAACCAGAACAAAACGTAGCGACATTACAACACGGTAATCAGCACATACAGCTAGTGTATTAAGTTAGCTTTGGTTTTACAGTTTACATCATCGGCTTGTGAGGACTGAAACAGATTTACAATGACGATACTTCTTTATCACATGTAATTTCTTTAATTTAAGATGGTTTACCTTTATATAATACAAAACATCAAAATATAATTACTAAAAATGATTTATTAAAAATGTAATTGGTGTTAGAAAATAAATTGTTTCTTCATCATAAAACTTTTTGTAATTAAAATTCACTATCTTCTTATAATAGACAACAGCCTAGTATTACCTGCAAGTTTCTTAGTATTAAAGCAAACAATAATACACCGAGGCTCTCTGTATTGGATTATTCCAGTCACGTGATAACCCTTGTCATGGATCATCTGTTGGATCCTTTGTTTGAGCATCGAGTCAGTCACGTGATCCCCGTGTAGCCACAGCTTGTCCACATCCATATCCAGGCTATCCATCTTTGCCATTGTACATTGCAAGATACTAGGAATGCTATTGTTGAGATGCTGCTCACATAAAAACAATGCGTCTGAAAAAAATGAAAAAAAAAATGAATAGTATGTACTGAAGAAGAAAGTGTTCATAGCTTTCTGGGCTTTGCAATTCTGTCCGTATGTCTGTGTGTGTATATAAACAAGGTAACTTGAGTACATTTACAGCTAGTTTGACGAAATTCCATATGTATTATGTCAAATTTATAGTTCTATACCAACTTTTCAGCGATTTTCGGTGACCGGAATGTTGAATTTAATAAACTTTCGGTTTTTTAAAAGCCTATAACTTGAGTAGTTTTTTTAGTTAGATAGACGAATTTTAGGTAATTTCCTGTGAACGGAAGTATTACTTTACGCTATTCTACAAAAAGTAGAAAAAGTTCCACTTCCGTTTGCCAGAAAACGCTAAAAAGTTAATAAAGAACTACACATTTGATATAATTATATATGAAATTTCATCAACCTAACTGTAACGGTACTCGAGTTATCTTGTTCACAGACACACATACACACATACACACACAAACATAATTGCACAGCCCAGTTTTTCTGACTTGATTATACGTAAAACGCCGAAATTTCGATAAATCTAGATTGAGAATTTTAGTCCGATTAAAATAAGTCCCCTATACTCTGTGTATTATGAAGTTCTGAGAAGTAAAACGGTGAAAACTGTCAAAATTACATGTGACAATTATGCACGATTACAATACTACCTGTACACTCTGTATACGAGAAAGTAAAAACGTCAAAATACACAAAACATTTAAAATTTGAATATAATCGTTTTTAGCTGCAGTGAATGCTTACCTGCACTGTTAAAAAAGGACACAAAGACTTCGCCGCTGTTTATTTTTCCATACACATCCTCGATTGCCTGCCTTTGAAATAAACGTTTGATATACTTGCCCAGTTCGTCTAGATCTACAGTAAGCCCTGTCGTGTGAATAATCACAGTCCTCACAAACAACGTACTCGCTTGAGTACTGACCATTTCAGACATGATTGTTTCTGGTTTCTATGTAACGCAACTAAAGGTTAACACCAGTGAAGTATCACAAAACACAAAGATGACACAACTAAAGTATCACACTCCTAAATTATCATACAATTCAAAGTACGACACAAATAATTGATCGAATGAGTCGGCCGTGGTCGAGTCGGTAAAGCGCATGGTTGCTAAACCGAAAAGTCTCGAGTTCGAACCCTCGGGCAGATGAGGCTCGTTAGCTGGGGACAACCACTCTTCTAGGAGAGACAACGCAAAAATCAAACAACTGCTGCCTTGTAGTATTTTCTTGGTTGGAGTCAATGGCCTCAATGGCGTATAACCAGTTGACACGTATCCTTAATTGTGTTGGAGGGGATCCCTTCCAACATTAAAAATTAAGAACGAAGAAGAAGATCGAATAACGTAAGTATTAGGCAAATAAATAATCACACAACTAAATGATTACTCATCGAAAGTATCACACTACTAAAGTATCACACTACTAAAGTATCACACTACTATCACACAGCTAGGCATCCTAGAAACCCCAAAAGAAAAACAAAAGTCTCTTATCAAACCAGCACATTTCGTTAAACCACAGCTGATAAGACACAACAACTCATTGTATACGACAAACCAACACAGTTGATACGACACACCATCACAGCTGGTAGGACACACCAACCCAGAGAACCTTGTCTCGGGGTTGTGCTGCTGAGCTAATATTCGATAACGATGCGATAAAAATAAGCTGCATACAAATGACATATGTTGCATATAGCGTAGGTTTACGTTTTATTGATAAGCTTCTTATTTATAACACACTGAAACTTCCAAAAAAGGCTACTAAAATGTTTTTACAGTAAAATAAAATTAGAACTTATTACATTTTAAAATACATAAATACAGTTAGCGTATTATTAGTGTACTGGGTAAGTTTTTTTTTAAATTACTATGTGCAAACTTTAAAATTAATATGTTAATATGTCATTCTAGCATAGTATACAAAATCTACTATCGTTACTGTAGCATAGTGTTATGATTTCATAGTATATATATGCTATCTCATAATTCGTAAAATATTTGCTTTATGGTTTTTATAGGTTGTTCGTGTATTAAATAAACTCATTTAAGAACTTTTTTGAAATGGGTAAAAAATGTATGGCCGAATCCAATGCTCAGTACACATTTATTTACTCAGTTTGTTAGTATCTTATGGTTGGTTGGATTTGATTAACGAACAACAATAAGAATTTCGAACATATTTTATTTTCATTTGATTCCACAATCTTAGCGCAATGACAGCAGTTAAAAACATAGGTAAAGTAAGAAGACAGGTACAAACTTCACAGCTTTCAAAAAAAAAAATTGTATCGTTATTTACACGTGCGTGTATTGACAAAGGCCATGGGTTGCAACATGACATATATCTCTAATTAGTCTTAACTTGTGAGGTTATTAACACTTTCTGTTTCTTTATAATACTTGTAACACATACCTCATTTCAGTTCTCGTTTTATCCTATCTATATGCAATGTTTATGTACTAATCAGTGTTTTTTTTTTCAGACAATTTTCTCCCTGGACACTGGTTAAGGTATTTCTTTTCTATAACGTATTTTCTAATTAACCCGGGTGGAGTTGACGTGTTCCTGGAGGGGTGGAGGGGTGGAGGGGGTGGAAGCAATACTGCCCCTTGCTATCCCAAAGAAATGACTGTGTGTTTTGGGGGGGGGGGGGAAGCTATTATTAACATCTTATTGATTAACTAGTAGAACTGTGATCAAGGCTGGCAGGTGCTACTCTGTTTATTGGGAAGGCGTTTGTCGTAAGCGCGGTGTTCAGCCTAGTCGTGTTGACGTTTTCCTGCGGCAGGTAGACGGCGGCGTAGACCTTGGGCAGGAAGAGAAAGACCAGCGCCACCGTGTGGTTGAGGATGAGCGAGACAGAGAGCAGCAGCACACGGACGTACTGACGTCCAGCCGTGAAGTAGGTGGGGATGAAGGCCAGCCAGATGACCAGCGTGGTGGACACGCACATCGAGATGAACCGGGACTCGTTGAAGTTGTCCGGAAGTTTCCGGGTCTTGAAGGCGAAGACGGAACAAAGGGAGACAAGGACGAGGTTGTAGGCCAGGAAGGACGATAACCCTGGGAGAGTCATGTCACAGTTGAGCTCCACGAATTTTTCTGTGGCGACGGGTTGGGTTTTCTTGGCCGTTGGTCGGTACACGACGTACATATAAATACAGAGGCCAATCTGAAAAATAAACACAAAAAAGTTTTTAAAAAGATAGCATATTGTTTAAAGCATATTCCAACAATAAAATGTTCAGTATATGTTCAAATGAACACACATAAAAATCTCTCTCTCTATATATATATATAATTATCTTCTGGGAGACGCTAGAAAACAAACTGTAAGCGCACTCCCTACCACCCCCACCCCTACATGGTCTGGTGAGCTGTGGTTCACGCTAAATGTTTACAAGCAGAGCCGGGTTTAGTGACGACTATTAGGGGCAGATAATTTAGTTTGAAACGATTTTAAACGTGGGGGGGGGGGGTAATTAAGTGGAGTTTACTTTAACAGAGGGGGCGGGGGAGGAGGGAGGGGGTTCGTCCTTAACTAGCTACTCATAGTGTTTTAAAGAAATATTTTCAGTGGCAGCGTTGTGTCGAATTCACAAATTATGAATTACTGAAAAGTAGAAAAAACAACTAAATAGCGGCGTATGATATGCCGCGGGTCGGCTCGTTGTATATAATGAAGAACTATTCTAGCGCACTTCTTGTGATTCGACTAGTACTTGCTGAGAATGTGAACAGTGTACGGTAGTTAAGAGTTATTTCCCATATAGAAGAAGCAAGCGTGTTAGCTTATGATAAACACTATTTTTTAGCCATTGTTTTCAATGCAGACAAGCCCTTGATGTCCTTGCGTTTAAAGAGAACAATCTAAAGATAACCTCGTATTGTGAACTTCCTTGTTCTAATATCAATAGGGCTGGAAAGTAGGTCACCAACCAGTTCTATGGCTCATGCAGGTTTTAGTGAGCCGTAGAACTGGTTGGTGACCTACTTACCAGCCCTATTAGACAGGCGAGAAGAAAAGAACACAGAGACTTTCAGATAACTTTCAGATAGCTAATACTTAGCGAAAGACTGGCTGTTGATTGATTTTGTATTGCAGCTGTTACATGTGTAGTTGATTTCTATTGTGATGGTTTTATGGTAAATAAAATCATTTTGTTTAGTTTTGGTTTTTGGTTTTAAATATTTTTAAAAATTTCAAACGTATATAAACGTACAAAAATAAATTGCAATCTTTAAGTACATCTTTATCTGGGATTATTTCATATTTTGATCTTAGTTCAAGGTCTATTGATTGTTTCACGCGACTCGCCTGGATAAGCACTTAACACACGCCTCGAGCTATGGTGTAACAACTCGGGCGAAACGTTGTCATTTAACCAGGGCGTATTGACCTGGCATTGTACGTAACAGGGAGATAACTTTTGCTGTCTTTCCAGTTTAATTTAGAATTTGTGTTATTGCTTGCTTTAATGTAACTCTAAAATCAAATTACAAAACAACAATGACATACCTTGTGAATATATTTGTATTGTTTTATTTATAGTGTGTTGGAGCATTAAAACTCAATCTATTATAGTGCTATGACAATCACGAATACACATGTTTACTTTAAAAAAGATAAAAACCTTTATAATAACAAGCTTCTAAATGCACTGAAAATAAAACATGAAACAAATTTTCTTTGTTTTATAAAAAGGTTTTGTTGCTCATGAGATAAAGCAAGCAAATAAGTTTTATTTTATTTTTAGTGTATTTAAAAGCTTGTTATTATAAATGTTTTATATTACTTTTCTTTTCCGAATTTAGCCATTCGTTCGAAATAAAGTTGACTAAATTTATAAAGGGTACGACTAAAACCCCGGCTCTAAATGAGAGTTATCTGCCCCTATCTAGTTCGTAAGCAACTTTCAGGCATTAAATCAGCCAACCGTGACATTTCACCCTCGGTAGTGATAGATTGATCGCTTGAGATTTGTTACGAAATTTCGATATTTTTTAAATTAAAATTTAATAACTAATTGCAAAATTTCAAAATGTATATTCATGTAGTGTCTTCGAGAGAGAAAGTATATAAAAGTTAGTCCGAAATCGCTGGAATAAAAGTGAGTCAAAATTGAGTTACAAGATTTACTACAAACCCTTAGACTTTGTGAGCTAAGTAAAAGCTTGTAAAAATAAGTAGCAATAACCGTAACCAAATTAATGAAATGTACATCTCATTACCCAATAACATAATTGACTTCTGCCATATTTGATCGTAACTATTAAACTAATGATGTATTCACTGTGGAAAATTATACATGATTTGTTATAAGGAGATATGATTACTATTTACCTGTATTAGGATTAAACTCGTTGAGATTATGACCTGAGATTGAGAGCTGACGAACCGTGGTTTGGTCTTGGATTTGGTCGCGTTGTGAAAAATTCTATAAATCCTCACGGTCTTCACGAGCAAGGGCGAGTAGAGGGTGGCGAAACTGAGGCAGTACGTGAAGAACAACACACTACACATGTGCTGTGTCGGGTAGGTCTGGAAACAGATGACGGTGAAGTAACCGACAAAGATGGCGACGATCTGTAGGAGACTCAGCTCCCTGCTGGCCGCTTTGATGACGCGGTTTTCCCGCAGATGGATGTAACAGGCGCTGACGAGCAAGATGGCGGCCAGTGCCAGGATGGCGAAGCTGATCTGTAGAACAGACAGCACGCTGGTCGTTTCCTGGTAGGTGAGGGGGATGGGGCTGCAGGTGGTGTAGTTGGTAGCCGGGTCCGGCCAGGTGAACAGCCGGCATTCCTCGCACGCTGTGTTTTTGTTGATGATCCGCTCGTTGTTCCGGCACGTCCGGCAGTCCCAGCAACACTCGGGGTTTTTCTGGATCTTGTACTCACCCACAACACACGGGCGGCTACACACAGACTCCGGTCGGTACACGGTACTAGAGTCCCCATCTATCGGAATAAGCCTTTCAAAAACTGTAAAATAATCCCACGAAATAACATTATCACTGTAAGTTATATTTTTCGAAACAGTATCATAATACGCAACTTCCTGTTTCGTTAGTCCTTTTTCACTTTCATCAAACAATTTCCGGTCAATGTTTTGTACTTTTTCATAACTCCACTGATATATAACATATTTTCCTATTGAATCCCCGTTTTCGTCGAACCTTATATCCCCGCTATATCCTTGAAAAGATTCGCCTTTTAAATACTTATACAGAACATCACTTTTAACGCATTGTTGTACATCTTTTCCGGTTACATTCGGACATAAATCGGATATAAGTTTATGAGCAGCGTTAGCAAAAGCCAAGACCACATCCATGCTTAGCGTTGCAAAAATGAGATAATCAAATTTAGAAGTATTGAGAAAATTTAAACTGTTGTTGCACGTTCCGCTATCGTACGAACAATTGTTCAGGCTCTCCCATGCTGGTTTTAGCCAGGGATTCGTCGAGTTTAAAACGTTCAGGCGCTCAAGGTATGAGTAGAACTCATCCACAACCGGTACCCGGAACGATATAAAAAACGAACCCACCAGCATTCTTTTAAAAGGCGACATAAAATCGCTGGAAGCTAAAGACACGGCGTCGCTGGCGATCCATGAAAAATTACCGGTGCCGTTTAGTTTATCAACGGATGTCAATAAATTTGTGAACGGGACTTCATCCATGAAGGCTATGATGACACGAGCTTTCCAATAACCTATCAAGTCGGCGGCAACTAGGTCGGTGTTCTCGTTGTATTTAACTCTATGCCAGGTAGCTAAACATATATTAAACGCCGGAGCTAAATACTTGATATTATCAAAAGCACGTTCTCCATACGTCCCTTCTATGTAAACAACAGATATATACGTCCAACCGTTATCAGAGATAAAATTTAACATGGCCTCTACTTGAAATTTATCAGGGCCGATAACTCTGAAAAAATACGGGTGTTTGTTTTTGTTACTGAACTCGTCGGACGAGGCAGTAGGAGCGATAATCGGTATTTTCGCTACGGTGTATAGAAAAGACACAGGACCTACCGAGACACTCATCAACGGGGCAAGTACTCCGACAACATCCACGTGATGTGAAGACCCAGCCGAACAACATTCATAACACGACGAATTCTTCACCGCTTTAGCGTGACATCTGTTTTCGGTTAACGGTAGAAAAGACAACGACTGAGCTAAAGATATTGAAGGAAGCGCGCAGTCGTTGAGTATAGCAAATCCTAAAGTAACATTGGGTAGTAGATCATTACGATTGTTTATTTGCTCCACAACAAATGCTATCGATTCCGTGTACTCTATCGCTGTGGAACCTGTCAACACCTGCTCACTGCACGTGAAACCGTCTAGTGGGTGGGTGAGTTGCATGATCGCGCCGATGTTGATGTCGCCGGGTTTAGCGTAGATGCGAGTGTCGATGCCGTTGAGAAGGAAATCGTCTCCTTGGAGGTTCGCACTACATTGAGGATGTACTAGAACAACCCGCAGCATAATCAGCACTACGGTTAATGTAGCAGTTGAATTACGTGTGCCCATTGTCGCTTGTTATAAATAAGAAGGTACCGTGTGAGATCTAATACATACCAATTACTGAGAATTACTGACATGTACGCTATATTGAATCCAGTCATAAAAAAAATGTTACCGGTTTGTAGTCAACATGGAATTGTAGTTCAAGACGATGTTAATCTGAAAATAGAATTAAAACGTTGTTAAAAACCTATTTATATACACTCGAAGAAAGACGATACAAATTATGGAAATATAATTATAATGTTGTTATATGTTGTTGAACCACGTAAATTTATGGTTTTCATTTTAAAAATCAATTAATACGTTTTTAAACTAAAAATACTTGTTTCTGCGCTTTAGCCTCAAATCATAATAATAGTATTGCAATGAAAATATTATGATTTCTTTCAAGTTCATAATATACATTTTATACGTAGCAAATACAATATGTCAGTGGTTCCCAACCTTTTTCGAGTGGCGACCCCCTTTTATAAAAAGAAAGTGACCCGCGACCCCCATAGAATTAAAAAGTCGAAATTAGGAAGGAAATTAATAAGCACTAAAATATTATTTTCTATTGGTTCATTTTCCCAGAAGCTTCAGGTTAAGCTTATGTATGATACTCTCTCCCAGTGTTTCTTCTAGATTTTTTTTCTCCAGGGGGGGGGGGGGGGCCTAAATTTTTGGTGAAGGGGCGGACAAAAATTTTCTGTTAAAAGTATATATATTTCCTAGATAAATTCCATTTTTTTCGGGGGGGGGGGGGGGGCGGTAGACTTTCTTCTGGGAGGGGGGTTGGAGTGAAACATGGCAGAAACTCTGCTCCCTCCAACCATTCTTTGTCGTTAAAGTATATCAAAAGGTCTTATATCTTTTGCACTTACAAGAACAACTTGATTTTGTCTTTCAATTCAAAAACACGATTTAATACATTTCGTTTGACTGCCAGTGTAGAAAAGAAAAACCTCGTGATCTTTATTAATGTCTTTGCCCAGTTCTTTATGGGCTCCGGAAGAGTCGGAAGAGTTTTGCTGGCGAGGACGTCCCGGTGAAGAATGCAGAAAATAACCCTTGGTTAGGAAGCTAAATCTTTTATTGTTTTCTGAAAGCCCGATTTTGACCTAAACATCGATGGCGCACCATCCGTACATACCCCACAGCCGTTTAAACCCATTTTAATCATCCAGTTTCAAAAAACGTATTTATTTTCTCCATGCTATTTTACCAAATAGCAACTCTTCTTTGCTATGATCTGAATGAATATATTTTACAGAGACAAAGCACTGCGAACACGAACTCACGTCTGTTGATTCATCAACTTGAAAAGCAAACAATAGTGAAAGCTTGATTTAATTCAAAATGTGTTCTTTTACATTTACGGACATATCTGCTATACGCCGCTGAATAGTATTATAAAACAGAGATATTTGTTGCATCTTTACTGCACTGGAATCCCTAAGAATTATTTTCTCCATCTTCAACATGCATGGTTTGGTGATTTTTTAAATGTTTTTTTTTTCCTTGGCAATTTCTATCGCGACTTTATATGATGTTGTGTTTCCTTGGTGAAAACATCCTGTTCGATTAACTCTCTAACGTTTGCGACTAGCTTCACGCCGACTAAAGTACTTCATATCGTTTTTGGTATATTCCTAATGACTCGTCGCAAAATGAGATTTTAGTTTTGAAGATTTCCTGACTGAGAACAATTTTGCACAGTATGCATTGTTTCTTCTCTATTCCATTTCTAGTGATGTTAGTAAAGCCAAATTTAAGATATTCTTCTAAATATTTAAGTTTTGTTTCTCATTGCTTAGGTTTAGTATACCAGTTGGCGACCCCCCAGAAAGCCCTTCGCGACCCCCAAGGGGGTCGCGACCCCCAGGTTGGGAACCCGTGCAATATGTCATGGAAATCATTTTTTTTCTAATGAAAAAAATCAGACTTCAGCCTAAATATTAAAGCCTAACGCTTGATTAAGTTCAGCAAAGACATTTTTTTTTGTTTGGCATCAAACATGTAATTTACAGCGTCAGTTGTGTGTGTTCGCTTTAGTATTACAGTTTTCATCATCGACTTGTGAAGGCTGATACAGATTTACAATAGTAATATTTCTTTCTGACTTGTAACCTACTTTCATTGATTTAAGATGGTTTACTTATACATAGATCTAATACAAAACGTCTAAATATAAAAAAAAAATAAAAAAAAAAAATAAAAAAAAAATAACTTGAGTATGCAAATGTGTAACTAAATGATGATTCAAGGTTTTTTTTCCCTCGGCATGGTGGGTGAGGGGGGCGGGACGGGGTAGAATTTGGGTTTTAAGTAGAGCTGAAATAAATAAATAAATTCAGCAAAGATATAAGAAAAATATTGAGAAACTATTTCGATTACAAACTAGAAAATATTATAAAACGATTCTTTATATATATTGAGGGGCAGCTAATTTTACATGGTGACGTAAATATTTAATATCTTAATTTTAATCACGTTTTGAAAATAAAACGTAATATAATCTTTGCTTCTGGATTTTAAATAATTGATTGCGTATAATATTTTGTACACAAAACAGCTTACTTAATAGAATAAGTGCATATTGGCTATATCAATTCATCTTAATATTACTTTGTGTATTGCCTCCCTTTATTAATGTTAATTCAGTAATAACGAATTTCATACCAGAAGTGTTACTTGCAAGCTATTACAAAGCTATATATTATTTGGTGTATGATATATTAAACCTAGATCTAGGATAAATTAGTCATAAGTTAAAGTTTAACGAATAATATTAATTAATGTTCGCGTATTTTTCTGACACATATTGTATGTGTACGCTATTTAAAAAATACATCTAATAATGTTCTTAACTTATGAGCAAATTATATACATAATAAAATAATTACCTAACTAAGAAAGACTTCGGGAACGGCGTGGTCGAGTGGCAGAGCTACCGCTACTAACCCGAAAGTCTCGAGTTCGGATCTCAGGCTCAGATGATGATGATACACAAACACATTCTCATAAAAACAATTATTTTAATTTTTTAAAAATAATCTATTTCATTAATAGTTTTGAACAAACACTCTTTGTTGTACTATATGTAATTATTTCAGTTCTTATATCTAAACAAGTGTGTCTAAATTGAGTTACAAGATTACCACAAACCCACAAACAGACGTTGCGAACTAAATAAAAACTTGTGAAACCACTAGTCATTAGTTTAAAAAGATATAACACATTAATTTTTCCCTACAAACACACGAAGAAATTCAGCTTTTGATATTAAATTGTGTTGAATCCTCTGATAAAAAACAAGGCGTGGATGTTTAACCAAGCTGCAAATAAACTAACCGTCCCCGGATATTTATATACGTCTTATTTATTGATCTTATGTATACAATTATAAGCATTACATTGATTTTTTAAACTGAGATACCAATAGAAGAAACGTATTTTTTTTTTAAATTTTCGAATTGTAGAAATGCGTTAATTGGCCAGTTAGCAAATAAAACATGCCGTCGTATTTCTTTCTTTAGAATGAGTGGATTTATGTGTGCATTAGTAAGAATTTTTAACAAGGTATGAATGTATAGCGCTGGATTTTTTTCCACAATAGCTAAAATTGACTATGCAAATAAACTCTCGTTTGCCTGTATTCTCTAAATTTCAGTGCGGGCATCGAACCTAATTAGAACATATCATCCATGGAAATTCATCACAAAACTTTAGAATCAGAGGTCTATCACGGAGCCGTTTATCTTAACAAAGGCACAAAGACATTGATACGTTTTGAATGGCAGCTGATCCAAAAGTAGACACTGGGTAAAAATATGTCAGAAAGAAATCGAAATAATTGCACCGGAAGTAGCGTAAATCAATACCCGAGAAAGCGTTTAGATGTGTGATTTGCCGTTGCCGTTAAAAAAATGCATTTAAAAAATAATTATCTGTCAAATTTAATGTTAAAAGCACATCAATACACCAGTATCTAAACATAGAGGAAAAACAGCAACTACTATTGTAGTGAAAGTAGTTTTTATATATAGTTGTACAACGTTTTCAAAATATTGGAAACGTTGTGTTTATTTAGTAATTAATTATTAGGTGCAATCGTTTTGATTAGTACACACGATTTTTAAGTTTATAATAATTTAGTTAATTCATAAGATTAACGTTTTTAAAAAGGTAAACTTACAGGTATTTAAAATATAACTGCTTAAAACATATACTTAAGATATTTAAGATATTACCTAAAAATAAAATTAATATTAAAGCTAAAGTCGTTTTATCTGGTTGAAAACGTATCTCATATTTCAAAATATAATACGTTTAATTTTAAAATTATAGAAGAAAAATGTAAAAAGGAGCTTTTCGAAAAAAAAAGTGTAATACTTAGACTACTAGATCTAGTTGACATTTAGGTTTTTTATCAAGTTAATTGTGTGCCGAAAACTACAACGTAAATTATCTCTTGGTTGTCGTATCAGAAGATACGAGAAGGTTGGTCGGCGTGGTCGAGTCGGTAAAGCACATGGTTGCTAAACCGAAAAGTCTCGAGTTCGAACCCTCGGGCAGATGAGGCTCGTTAGCTGGGGACAGCCACTCTTCTAGGAGAGACAACTCCAAAACTAAACAACTGCTGCCTTGTAGTTTGTTCTTGGTTGCACAAAGGCTATGGAAGCAAATCCAAAAAAGAAAAGCAGGCTGAAATCGGAGTCAATGGCCTCAATGGCGCATAACCAGTTGACACGTAACGCTTAATTGTGTTGGAGGCGTGGTCGAGTCGGCAAAAAGCTCATGGTTGATAAATTCGAACAGTCTCGAGTTCAACCCCACTGGCAGATAAATCTCGATCTTCTTCAACACTAATAATTAAGAACGAAGAAGAAGAAGAAGAGTATCAGAAGAAAAGTATAAACTAATATCTTACCTGATGAAAGAAACACTTAATCTTCAAACATTATGTCACACAACAAGACCCAGCCATTGCTTAAGCTCCGATGGGTAATCTAAATGTCGGG